AATGATATTTAAAATATATATTATAACTGATCCAAAAAAATATATTATAATAATTATATATTAACTTAAGCGTTAATTAATATATATAATTTCTTTGAATCATTTAAAATAGAAAAATATATTAATTAATGTTTAAGTTATTATATAGTTATTATAATATATTTTTTTGAATCAATTATAATATATATTTTAAATATCATTTAAAATATTATAAGATATTTAAAATTATATTTAAAAAATAATTATAAAATATGTAGTTATGAAAACAAACATTTAAAATGGTATTTAAAAAATAATTATATAATTATAAAATATATAGTTATAAAATATTTTTTACCACAATTTAAAATATTATAATATATATTTTAGTTATATATTAAAATGCAAATAATTAAAAAATATAAAAATTTGTATAATAATATTATACAATAATTAATTATACAGACACAATATATAGTTTTAATCCAAATGCATTAACATGTAATGCATGTAGTTTAGTAGTAATTTGAGTTACTTTTAATAAACAAGTCTTGGGTTCTGGTGGGGCAAATGATATTTTTTTACTTTTACAGTTATTATGCCACGGATGATAACAATGATGCCTAATCAGCTAAACATAAGAATAGATATTTTATAAATGGAATGTATATTTTATAAATATGAGAATAGATTTTGAGAGAAACACACTCTTAAGATTTAAATATTTTTGAGAGAAATACACTCTTAAGATCAAAAATTTTCACCATTAAATCATACACGTACACACTTACTTTATTACTATGAGGTATATTTTTTTCTCTTAAATTTATTTGCACATACTAATGAAATCAATCAACTTAAATATTTATATATATAATTGTCCACAAATCCAGATGACCAAAGTCAAAATTATTAGGTTAGATGCTGTCGCAAAAATTAAAACCCTGATATTCAAAATGTACCGTGGTTATTATCACTTTTTCTATTTTATAAGAACAATTTCTATATATATATATATATATATATATATATATATATATATATATATATATATATATATATATATATATATATATATATATATATATATAAAATTTCTTTTTGTGTATAACATAGTATAAATATAACGTGAATGAATACAAATAATAATGATTACAAATTGAAAGAGAAAAAAGAAAAGAAAAAACATAAGTAGGAGCGGAATTGAGAGCCACACATTGATTTCTTTGTTTGTCTTTGCATTTCAGCAAGCTTGTCTTTGATACCAGACACTGTCAGTTCAGAATTCCAAAAGCCATATGGCGTCAATGGCAGCGATCGGTGTTCTCAAAGTGCCGCCATCCTCCTCCTCTTCTTCATCTTCTTCTTCATCCAAAGCCATTGCACGCAACCTCTCTTTCACTTCATCACACCTCTCCGGTGATAAGATTTTCACTCTTTCAGGAAGAACAAGAAGAACTTCTGGCAGAAACCCCTTCATTGTTTCTCCCAAAGCCGTTTCTGATTCCAAAAATTCCCAGACTTGTCTTGATCCAGATGCTAGCCGAGTGAGTTTACCTTTTTCTTCTTTCTTTCTTTGTAACTTTGACTATTGTTAGTTTCAGCATAAGGGTGTGTGTAAAATTAGAAAGAAAGAAAAAGTCAATCTTTTGTTTATTTTCTCAATGTTTTAGCAATTGGGTATATGTTATTTTTGAATTTGGTAAGATCAATTGTGAATTAAATTAAATGTAATGTTTCTTTGATGATAATGTTTTAGAGTGTGCTTGGCATTATACTTGGAGGTGGTGCTGGGACGCGTCTTTATCCGTTGACAAAGAAGCGGGCGAAACCCGCTGTTCCTCTTGGAGCAAACTATAGATTGATTGATATTCCTGTTAGCAATTGCCTAAATAGCAACATATCAAAGATCTATGTGCTCACACAATTCAATTCAGCGTCGTTGAATAGGCACTTGTCCCGTGCGTATGCGAGTAACTTGGGTGGATACAAAAATGAAGGTTTCGTTGAGGTTCTTGCCGCGCAGCAGAGTCCTGAGAATCCAAATTGGTTCCAGGTAATAAGACATCTCATCTATACTTGTTGGTCTTGTTAGGATTCCTTACGGTTAATTGTTGATATGTCCGCTTTTGATGTAACAGGGTACTGCAGATGCGGTGAGGCAATATTTATGGCTTTTCGAGGAGCACAATGTTTTGGAGTACTTGGTTCTGGCTGGTGACCATTTGTATCGAATGGACTATGAGAGATTTATACAAGCGCACAGGGAAAGTGATGCTGATATCACTGTTGCTGCGTTGCCAATGGATGAAGCGCGAGCCACTGCTTTCGGTCTAATGAAAATTGATGAAGAGGGGCGTATAATTGAATTTTCAGAGAAGCCAAAAGGAGAACAGTTGAAAGCTATGAAGGTGAGCCTATAAAATATATGCCTCATTTCTTGCTGTTATTTGTTCTTTAGTATGTAACTGGGTAAAATGTTCTACTATGATATGACTTTTCTCCGTCAGGTTGATACTACTATTTTGGGTCTCGATGACGAGAGAGCTAAGGAAATGCCTTATATAGCTAGCATGGGTATATATGTCGTCAGCAAACATGTGATGCTAGATCTGCTCCGCGACAAGTTTCCTGGTGCAAATGACTTCGGGAGTGAAGTTATTCCTGGTGCGACTGAGCTTGGAATGAGGGTAAGAATTCCTTCTACCTGTTCAATATGAAGTAAACATTATTGTTTCCTGAGAATAATAGCTTATTCCAGGTGCAAGCTTATTTATATGATGGATACTGGGAAGACATTGGTACGATTGAGGCTTTCTATAATGCAAATCTGGGAATCACCAAAAAGCCTGTGCCAGATTTTAGGTAACTTAATGTTGGCGTTTAATTTACTCATCCTACCATCGACTTTAGTTTAACGATAGTAATAGCCTCTTTGAGATTTTTCATGTTTGTTGGGACATCGATTGCAGTTTCTATGACCGTTCATCTCCGATCTACACCCAACCTAGATATTTGCCTCCCTCTAAGATGCTTGATGCTGATATCACCGATAGTGTTATTGGTGAAGGGTGTGTAATTAAGGCAAGCTTTTTCAGAACTTTCATATGTTTTCTTAAAAAGTTTGTACATTTCCTTGCAAAGATCTTAAAGAATGTGACAAGTAAAATAACCATATTTTCAATTTTTTGTTCCACAGAACTGCAAAATTCACCATTCTGTTGTTGGACTGCGTTCTTGCATATCAGAAGGTGCAATCATTGAGGACACTTTGTTAATGGGAGCAGATTATTATGAGGTAACATTGCTAAATACCCATTGCAGAATTAAGTTTATATGAATCAACTTTAGCTTGAGAAGAAGTACTAACTTTAGTATTGGTCTTGTGATTATTGTGCTGTAGACGGATGCTGATAGGAGGTTTTTGGCTGCTAAAGGCGGTGTTCCAATTGGTATTGGGAAGAATTCTCATATCCGAAGGGCAATCATTGACAAGAATGCTAGAATTGGTGACGACGTCAAGGTTATTTCATGCATTCTATCTTATCTTGCCCCCCGCATGCATTCTTCCTTATTGTGTTGCTTTCAAATCAATGTAATACGTGTTTTGTTTTTCTACTGGAAATCTTACATCCGGTTTCAACAGATCATTAACAGTGACAATGTGCAAGAAGCTGCAAGGGAAACTGAAGGTTATTTCATAAAAAGTGGTATTGTCACAGTAATCAAGGATGCATTAATTCCAAGTGGTACTGTCATCTAAGAGCACTCTCTACTACTTTTGCCTCATCCTGCCGTGCATTGCAAGACCCCATTTTCACTACTGGAAGGCCGTAAAAGAGCAGCTCCGCTTCCAAGTTGGGTTTCTGGTGCAATGTTTTATTTGATTTGCCAGTATATAGAGTAGAGGACCCTTTCTGTAGCCGTGATGTAAATTTAATTTAATTCAGTCAAATAAATGCTTCTTTAGTCTGCAGTGTCTGATGCATGTTCTTTTGCAGTAGGGGTGGAATAATATCCACTAAAAACAGTGAAAAGAAATACAATAAAAGCCAGACACTAGCTTCTATTGATGCAATTTGCTTCTTCTGTCTCTTGAGATTTTTTTCTTCTTCTTTCAATTTCAATTCTTTTAAGAGATTAATTTCAATTCAAATAATAGATATTAATTCATCTTCTAGTACTTTTAAAAAAAATACTACTCAACTAATATTTGTGCCGTCCTTTAACTTGATTTCAATTAACAATTCTGTGATTTATCTTTTCTTTTAGTCTTTGAAGTTGTAAAAACATTATCATTTTTTTGGTAAAAAAAACTCAAATCATATCTTTCAATAAAAAATAATGTCTGCGGAATAAAACTTAGATATAAATTTGAAAGATCCTTTAGTCGAAGAAAATGGCAAAGATTTGGGGTTTGTGGAAGTTTATGGTTAAGTTGGTTAATGAGAAAAACAATTAAAACATGAATTTTTCTAAAGTTTTATATCTTTTTAAATCAAAATCTAAGTTTTTTTTAGTTTCCCAAAATTTTTATGAAATTTCTTGTTTTTTGGATTTCTCGTATTTTGTAAAAAAAAAATAACAACCATTTTAAAATGCCAAAACCTAAACCTAATTAGGAGGAAAAAAATAAAAAAAGTAAACGTTCTTGAAACTAAATTAAGGGACCCGAAAATTACTTTTTTTTTTTCCTTCAATATTTTGTTAAAATATGTAAATTTGACCCTTCTTTATTATATTAGATGCACTTTTTTTTATGCATAAGAACTCAAATTGAATTTTGTGGACGAGGAATTTTGATTTCCAGAATACCCAATTTTTTACTATTCGGTATATATATTTTTAAGAATATATAATGACCTCACATAATTTTATCGGAGGCGTGAAATTATATACATAGAACTCAATTCAATGACCTCAATTTTCTAAATCAACTCATATGCTTCCTCTACCTTCTGCCATATGTAATCAAACCTCCGTTAGCCCTAAATGGTAAGAAACTCAGGTTTCCACATGTGCTACGTGTATCCTGTGTAACAACAGTGTAACAAAACAGTTATCATTTCAAATAATCTAAAAGTTCACAGTCATCTAAATCAAAAATCTTATGCCTACGTTTCTCCAAATTTTGTTGAAACATGCATATTTGAATATAAAGTTACTACATTCTTTCTTTCATGGCCTTGTAAACCAAGGTGTGTATAGTTGGAAAGAAATCCTAACTGTTATACATTCAGGCCCAAAAGCCTTAGAAGCTGTAAGAGCACAGTCGTAAGGTAGATTGTATTATCCCCAATTTCTCATCCTATTCTTCCTAACTTACATCCTCTTTAACAATAGTCTTGTATCAAAAAGCTACACACAAAGACCTCCTCATAACAAGTTCACAGACAAATGTCAAAACAAGCTCACAGGCTAAAAATGTGCGTGTTCTTCTTCAACGAAATGCAAAAAATGATTGCATAATTGAATGTCGGGAGATTTTATTCTCATTTTTGCAAAATCCTTTATATGGTGGAATCCATCAAAAAGGTACTCCGTCCGCAATAATCCTAAAATTTCAACTATTATAAATATTGATTATAACATAGTAATTTTACCTTCCTTGGAGATAATGTTCTTCCATTTATCCTTGAGATCAACAGGAGTCCGAGTCTTATCAAAGACACGGCAACCAAATTCTAAAATTTTCCTCCAAGGGATATTCTGCTTTTCAGTTGAGTACTTCAACACTCCTTCCTGCAATGCAAAAACCAAAATTAACATCACTAATTGACAAATGAAGACCTTGTACAGTTATAATAGCTAAGGATGAAAGTTCTATACATTCCTTGATCATTAGTAAACATTACATTACATCATATCTGTTTTACAACTTCACAGTTCAGAACAATTTAGAGAAGCTTTAAATGTTTACTAGGAAGGAAGTTGTAAACTAATTACTATTCAAACAAATTCTAAACAGGGGATGAACAAAAAGAGAGATAGATTTTGCATTGTTCATAAGCAACCAGTAAGCAATAGTAAAATCATGTCAGAACTCAGAAGTAAAGGTATTACTATTAAGCTATATCATGATCTCAATAAGGCATTGCAGTGAATTCTAAAAAGATAAGACATTATACAAAACTTAAACCTTGAGAACTTTCTCTTCTTCATTTGTCCAGAGCAATCTCCTACGCTTTCCAGTCAGCAAATTCTGGTTCGTCCTGCAATACAAAACCAATAACTCCCTTACATAACAAACAATACCATGAGATAAATCAACTATCCAGTAATATTGGCATTTCACATTAGAAATCAAACTAAACTCGAACAAATCAATAAAAACACACATTATCAAATCAAATTACTCATTCACTAAACTTCATATTGCAATTGCAATGGGCCTGCGAGAAGAGAAACAAATTACTCACACTTGCTTTTGTACACTTAAAGTTCTAGAGCTGGTAACTTCCTCCTCCTCATCATCACCACCACCACCACCACCACCACCAGTTTTTGGTACCGGTAACAATGATTTTTTCACATAAGCAACCTTGCGTTTGCCTCTGGCATTGACATTGGCATTACCTTTATTCACGGAGACAGAATTCGAGTCAGAATCTTTAGCTTCACTGACTGAACTACCTGAAACAGAAACCTTTCCTTTATCTTTATCATTTTCATTACTATTTAGTTCTTTTCTTTCCTCAGAATCCTCAGAATCAGAATCATTCGGTTCATCCCGGCGCGGACGATCCTGAACCGGTTCTGGTTCGGCAATGTGATCATCATCATCCTTACGCACTGTTTGGCTTTTTTCCAAAAAGCTCGAAAGAGCTTTCTTCGCTAAAATCGTTTTTTCTCTAAATTCTCTAGTTCTCTTCAACGCTCGCTTGTAGGAGCAATACGGACAGAAGAAGTTTCTAGAATCATCGAACTTAGGTTCGGAACCGATGCATGTGACGTGGACTATAACGGGGCAATCGGTTTGGGTACAAACTAGCAATGCTCCCCCGGCTTGGTTACAGATAATGCAAATGTCATCGTCTAAGGAATCTGGTGGTTCGGAATCGGGAACGAAATCGGGAAGTGGTGTGTGATCGCCGGTGCTATCGCTGTCGTAGACGGTTGCATTGTGGTCGTCCTGGTTGAGGGTTTAGAGAGAGTGAGGGGGTTGAAATTGAAAAGAGAAAAAGACGTGTTGTTGGAAGAGATAGCGTAGTAGTGTACCTGGGCGGTGGAGAGAAGAGGAATGGGAGAGGCGGAGGGAGTCACGGAAGGCGTAATGCTACGCCGGCGGCCACCGCTGACGCTTTTTATTCTCATCGCTCAGTGCTGTTTTTTGTTTTGAGAGGGGAAAATAACTAAACCCAGATATCAACGAAGAGAACGTATACTGCTCAGTTCCAAAGCAAGTCTTTCTAACACTTTGTTTTTAACGGCACCCTCTAATTTATTTATTTTTATTTAAAGCAGATAGTAAATCTCTTTTTATTTTTTATTTTTATGCTAAAATAATATCTACTGTATAAGAAAATTATATGTTCTTGAAATTCTTATTTTATCCCGCTGCTTTATTAGAGTTTTACGTGGATGGTTTTATTAGCTTCCGTTCCTTTTGTTTCAACCGTCTATCGGTTTCAAATTCTTACACTTTTTATATTATATTTTTATTCTACTTGCTTTCATTTATTATTATCGTATCTGATCAGAATGAACCGTCACAGGTGGTTCGAGCAGAAATTGAATGAGGTGGGGGTACCTGCAACACACTCGATGCCAAAGTAAGTTGCGAAAAGAACAAACAAGCGTGAGAGTTAGAAAGTGTTGAATACCTGACCCTTTCGAAAGAGAGGGTATTTATAGCCTACAGCGCTGGACCAAAGTCTCTATATTGGACTGGTCAAGCAGGCCCAACGTAGAGACTGTCAGGTCCTACGTGAGTAGTGGAGACCCGTACGTGGTCCCCTATCTAGATGACGTCCTCCGCAAGGTCAGGAGGATATGGATGCGATCTTTCAGGGGCCACGAAGACTCTGATATCCGGAGATGTTGGTAATCAGTCCTACGAGGAGGATGCTTGGGGAGGAGTATCCGCCCGTCGTAGGTGATCCCCGCTATACGCGAGGTCGAGTAGGGGACCAGTCTTGGTCAATGAGCTAGTCGGAGTGTCCTTGAAGCCTTCATGGTCGGAGGTGATCGTCCTTAGTCTACTCGGGGTGTTGTCCCCGTGTGGTGAGATTGTCTCCTCGTGGGAGAGAGGTGGTAGTTACCCGCCGTATTCAAGGACAGAACCGGTCAGTGGTGCAGGTTGACACACTTGGATTGGGCCTTACTGAGAGTTGGGCCAAGGGTAGGCCCAGTCCAGAACAGGAGCCCCCAAGTTATCGCTCCTGATGAAAGAGTTTTGACTTGGTTCTAGTTCGTCCTTTTACGAGGTGCGCTGCTCGTCATGAAGCTTTTATACCATAGACGGGGAACGTCATCGGTTCAAGATTTTGCCCCGAGCAGAGGTCGGAGTGGGCTCGAGGAGGACTCGCGGGGAGAAGGCGATGCACTTGTCAGATACGTGGCGTGGCTCTTGGGAATAGTAATGATGACCTAGGAAGTATAGGCCATCATTGACTAAGCATGTAGGTGTCGAGGAGAAAGGCGGCTTGTGAGTTGCCCGACGCGACGTTTCATATTCCACGTTGTTGTACCCCAAAATTTGCCCTCCCATATTCATCAAGATTTGTCAAGTCAAGGTCACAAAATTCCCCAAGGGTTGTGTAGTGCAACAGTCTCCCATACAGTCAAAACTAGGGTTTGGGTTCTGATCAAGGAAATGAAGTTTTCAAAGACTCAATCAAGTCTCATATGCTTACAAACATGTTCAAGCATCCTCATATCAAGTTTCAAGGCATTCAGCTCAAGATTGCACAGTCAAAACCCTAAATTGCACTACAGTCAACTGTAGGGGCAAAATGGTCATTTGGCAGTCAAAAGTTCAAATTTTTGGTCAACATATCATTTTGAAGCCACAAACATCATTTGATCAATGCTTGATCATGATTCTCAAAATTTGGCTCAGAAATCATCAAAGATGCAAAAGTTGCTATATTTGGACAGCTGAAAAAGTCAACTGAAATTGACCAGGGCATAACTTTCACATGGATTATCAGAAAAATTCCATCCAAAGCTCATTTTGAAGAGAAAGACATTTCCTACAACTCATCTTCATACTTCAAGTCCAAGAAATGCTCTCACAAAAAGTTATCAATTTCAACATTACAGGTCATTTTCAGAAGTCAACAAAGAGGGACTTTAAGTCAAAGACCATAACTTGAGATTGGTAAATCAAAATGACATGGGACCAAAGGCATTGTTTAAAGGACTCAAAGACCTTTCCAAAATGTCCAAGAACATGTGAAAAGTTTAAAAATTGAGCAAGTTATGCCTTGTAGAAGTTGGGAAATTTTTGTGAAATGGCAAAAGTCAACTATCCTTGAAAATCCAATTTATGACAAAAGGGCCCCATTTTTTCCACTTGGTTCATCCTTGTCATGCCACACACGTGTCCCATGGTTAATTTCAAGACCAAATATTGATTTTTTTATTTTATTTAATTTTTGATGATTTAATTCATTTTAATTCTTTGAAAATTCAAATAAAATTTAAAAACCAATGGAATAGTGTCATGTGAACTTGGACAATTTCTATATATCATGAACCAACTCAAGAAATCAGGCTAGGGTTCATTTGCACACTAGGTCTAGGTTTTGGCTAAAAAGGAGGAAAAATGGTTAAGAGTGAAAACCCTAAGACTAATTCCTTCATGAGCTTGAATCTAGGTCAAAGAGTAAGCCAATTCCATTCCATGATCATCACTGAGTCAAACCCTAGGCCTAACAGATCATAAGCTGCGCCCAAACAAGCATTGGCATATTGAAAATTTCTCCTTAAAACACAAAACTGAAAACTAGTTTAAAGGATCTTTAAAGCCTTAATTCTTTTTCCATTAGCATCCTTAGGCATTCCTGAAGGTACTCTAATCACAAACAACAACAAAAGCGTAAGGAATTGGTGGATCATACTCAAACTGTATAGAAAAATTATTGAAATCGTGCATCATTCTTTAAGCATTCTTTGCACTTTTTCTTTGTGGATTTATGTTCCTTATGAGTTTCTAGAGCTAACTGTTAGGTTTAATTGCATTGTTGTGCCATATACATGAACTTGCCATGCGAGAATTCTAGGGTTTCAGGTTTCTGAAATTGGGGATTTTGCATAGAGGAAAAATTAGAGTTCCTGAAGACCATGGTTGAATTCAGCGTTTAGAGACGAAGAAAAAGCACACCTCGCGAACAATTTATGAAGCTTGTGGACCTAATCGCTATTTTTTGAAAGCTAGCTTCAGACCACGCATGAAAAACCGTGGCCAATGTGTTTTCTTTTTACAGGGATGAAGATGATGATGTCGTGTCATCCAGGGACAGGCCAGTTCAAATCTCGCGCGCAGTTCAAATAGCACTAACCTTTTTCTTTTATAATGTTTGTTGATTAATATATATTAAATGAATTCAAAGTGGCTCAGTGGACAAGTATCAGCGCGTTAACCTCAATGACCTGGGTTCAAGTCCCAGGTCTGGCCAATTTCCACATTATTTTTCAAAACAAAATTCTATGCTTCACTAACTTCCAGGTACACCATGTTCCATCCTCCTCCAACCTCCACGCGTCCCCAGGGCATCAGATCTATGGCCAATGTTCAAGATGCATCATACATCAAGTCAACAGGCGTGCATGTGATTGGAAAAGTCAACAAAATTCAAAGCAATTGGGCCAGGCTTTTCAAATCTACACCCCCCTGGTTTGCCCATTTAATTTATTTTTCTTATATTCTTCATTTATTTTAATTGTTATGTTATTTTAATTATTTGTTTTTATTTAATTTTTAATCAAAATGCAAAAACATCACAAAAATCAGAAAAGTCAAAAAATTAATAATTATTTTCTAAATAAATAACATGTAAATATTTAGTTTTAATTAGGTTTTCAAATTTAATTCTTTTAATAACTAAAATCCAAAAAATAGAATTTAGGTTTAATAACTTTTTATTTTCTTTTTTAATTTTCCCTTTTTTTCAGAATAATAATATTATTTATTTATTTTCATAAATCAAAAATTGTACATAAATTAATTTAGAATTAAATTAGGTTAGAAATTAAATCTTTTTCTTAATAACTTAAAAAACATTAGAACTAGGGTTTAGCATTTTAATTTTAGTTAATTTTTCTTTTTTCTTTTAAATCTAAAAAACACAAAAATACCATTTTTCATTTAATTTTAATTTTAGATTCCTTGATTAATTTTAATTGTTTGTAAAAGGGTCCAACGCCCTAGTTTTGTTTAATCTCTTTATTTCGCGCATTTATTTTATATTGTTTAAATAATTCTGTATATGCCCCAAAGCCATGTAATTTAAAATTCTCGCACTTTTATTTATTCGCTTTATTTATTTTCAGTCAAATCGGGTTCGGTTTTTTTGGCGATGTGGACCCGCGCCAGTTGTAATAGTTTAGATTTATTTTTCGCAACTTTATGACTGTTAAACAATAACATGAAAGAATGAATGCCCAAAAATAAAATCGAATCGTTAGATCACCAATGCATGACAAGACAAACAATAAACTGAAAATGACACACAATTCGCACACACCACCCCTAGGGTACGCCTCACTGTTGCCTTTCGAAAGGTGATCGTCGAGTAGAGGACGTCTTAGTAAGTCCTCATGATCCGGGAACCTGGCATGAGGGTAGCTTCTAAGGTGTCTTCCCATTGCTCCGGTGATCACCATGTCCCTATACACTCGAATTGACCCGAACACCTCCAACGGTGGTGCTACCTACCTCTCAATGGTGGGATGGCACTACTTTAAAGGACATTTACACAGACGAATTCCTTAGGGTAGGTAGGTTCTCAAGGATACTTGCTCTAATTTCAAACAAATCAAAATCTTTTCACACCAACACATTTTCAAAAGCTTTCAAAGCAAACTTTTCAAACACTCTGACGTACGAGTTGAACTGAAACTTTTCAAAGAATCTTTTTGAAACCCACAATTGAAAAGCAAGCAAACATTTTTGAAAACACATTGAGCAAGTATCTAAGAGCCCATGGATAACCATGGATAGAAAGGGTGCTAACACCTTCCCTTTCTATAACCTACCTCCCGAACCGAGAGCAATCTCTTTAAGGAATTTTTCTGTGCTTTTGTCCTTTCCATTTGGAGAAAATAAAAGACGGTGGCGACTCTTGCTTACCGCGACATTTCGCGAACCA